GCCTGCCACTCCCCCTGCTTGTGTTCTCTCTCTCTCTGTCAAATAAATAAATAAAATCTTAAAAATAAATAAATACATATTTAAGGGAAAAAAAGAGAAGAATTAATAGGGTGGGAGTGAACCAGTTTGTAACTGTACCATTTTATAGAGCATACAATTTAAAATAATTAATTTGGCTTAATATAGCATTGACTACAGCGATGAAACAGGGGTGGCCTTGTGGGGAAAAGATTTAAATTAAGCATATTCTTAAATGGCTCCACTCTTTTTGACAGGTCTAAGACAAAAAAGTGAAAAAGAAAAGAATATACTTCTTAGAGAAGGTTTTTTTTTAGGAAAATTATTTTTTGTTCTAAAATTTAACTTAAAAGAATGCTCAGTTTTTTTTAACCTCACCTGGACTAAAATAGTATATAGAATGAATATATATTTAAGGGAGAGGTTTTATTTGTTTTAATAAAAATGTTGAGACCTGGTAAAAACAAAACATAGTGTGTTTAGATTCTAACTGAATAAAAATAGTAGGCAGTACTTTGGAGATTTTTAAAGGAAATGGTCTGGCAGGATCCCAGATACAGAAAGTGGGTCATAAGCAGCTCTCAGCAGTCTCCATTGGGTGTCATTAGAGGACCAGAGAAGAGAAACTACATAAATAGGAAAGTTAAGTTTCTAATATCCTGTTATCCAAAATATGATACTTGTTTAAGATGGCAGACCCTTTTTCTTTTGGGTCTTTACATTCCTAGAGGGAAAAAAAATGTTTTTAACCAAAGTATCTATATTTAACAACAGCATCTGAATATTTCAAAGCATTTGGTTGTCATTGTGCTTAGCTTTGTGTTTAAACAGCTTAAAAGAAAGTCTTTAATAACATGAAATTGCCCTAAGATTAGAAATAGGTTTTTCATATTTTATTTATGCACTTAGAAATTAAATTGTCTTTAAATCATTTGGTTTTCTCTGTCTTGACTATAGGATTCTAAAAGTAAGAGAACTTCGCATTAGTAATTTTAAAGTACTAAAATGTTTAAAGTTCTAGAATGCCAAGATAATTTTATTTATTTATTTATTTTTTATTTTATTGTTATGTTAATCACCATACATAACATCATTAGTTTTTGATGTAGTGTTCCATGATTCATTGTTTGTGTATAAGCCAAAATAATTTTATACAGAAAAGAGCTATGATTGATCTTGTGCATGTGTTGTTTGTGCTTACTTTGAAGCATTTTGCACCTAAATGCAAAGAATGAATTACTTAATTTATCTGAAGATTGTTCTGTCCTTGACAATACATTGCGGTCACTTGGACAACTTTTTAAAATGTAGATTCTGATTTAATAGTATGGTATGCATGTATGTTGGGTATTGAAATTTTCAAAAACTCCTTAGGTAATTCTGACATGCAGCCAAGGTTGAGAACCACTGCTATAAATGCTGTAAAATAATTGTGGGTTGATGGAGAAAGAGGAAAAGCATAGTGCTGTCAGGACATGTAAAACAATTCACAGAAGCAGGGCACTTGGTCGCTCAGATGGTTAAGCGTCTGCCTTCAACTCAGGTCATGATCCCAGGGTCCTGGGATCGAGCCCCGCATTGGGCTCCCTGCTTGGCGGGAAGCCTGCTTCTCCCTCACCCTCTACTGTTCCCCCAGCTTGTGCTCTCTTGCTCTCTCTGTCAAATAAATAAATAAAATCTTAAAAAAAAAAAAAATTCACAGAAGCTACATAAATAGCTAATGGACACATTCAATCCCAGACCAAAACTAATATCCATCATAGTTAGAATTGTGAAATTTAAAAAATTGCTCTGTCAGTAGAATGATTGAACCAATTGTAATACATGTGCACAGTAAAATTTGGCTTCATGAAAGTTACCAAAGAATAAGAATGATTTGAAAGGTGCTTAGGAGGTAATGTTAAATGAGAAACAGAAGAGTTAAAATTATGTTAATATATAGTGTGATCCTAAGTACATTTTAAAATACAGCTGGGAGTTCAAAGAGCTGTGCTGATTCTCATTAACTATAGATGACATAAGTTGGTGCTACCTTTAAGATGAAGCTATGTATTTGAATCCATTTAAGTCCTATTATTAAGAACAAGAAAGTTGATGCATGTAACTTTTAAGATATCCTTTGTTTCGGGGTGCCCAGCTGGCTACGTCAGTAGGATATGTGACTCTTGACCTCAGGGTTGTGGGTTTGAGCCCCACATTGGGCATAGAGTTTACTTGAAAAAAGAAAAGAAGAAAAAATAAGATATCCTTTGTTTAGAAAATAGTTATTGAGATAGAATTTTTCCAGGTAAATATTTATTAAGTGATACTTTCGTGGGGTTTTTCTCACATAATAATGTTTTTCGCCCACTGTCAGAATGACACAAAATCAAAATGTTTTTGTATTTTTTACGATATATTTTCTTTTCCTAAAATGTTTTAGTATGTTCAGCAAGAGTTTATCTCATTTAAGCAGTTCCCACAAAATAATGCAACAAAACAGATTAGCAGTATATACTTAGTAATGCCCTTTGGCTTACTTTATCTTTATTAGCAAATTCACTGTCTTACTATTTGCTTTTAAATCTTGTTGTTTCTGATTTTAGGCTTTTTATACTGGAACAGCTTTTGGACAGTATAAAGCACTCAAAAGGAGCTCATCAACAAATAGTTCAGTTACATGTTGTTTCTTCACTCTTTAGTTTCTTGAAGGTAATTTTGTTTTTTTAAAATTGGGGTGTTTGATTAATTTTTTTTCTAATTGATGTCCAACTATGTAGGTTGGAGGAAGGTGTTTTTAAAGAACTGCTTTTTTTTCCCTTCCCTTTTTTCTTAATCTCCTAATGAAAATGTTTCAGGATTTGTAATTCCCCTTTTACTTTATCTCTATGTAAAATTTGTTAGTCAGAAATTAAACCTGAAGTCTTGGCTTAGGAACATGCTATAACCTACTCAGCCTAATATCCTATACCAGAGATTGGCAGACTATGGCCTATGGGCCAAATCTGGCTTATTGTTGCATTTATGACTTATTGTTTCTAACTAAAATATAATACACTTCATTGGTTATTTTATGGAAATTCCTATTAATGTTCTTCTGAACACATATATACTATAGTGATAATCAGTTACCATATTGTTTGCCTGGAGGTTTAAACTTCTAAAGAACTTTCTGTGAAAAATCAAATTATTTTTGGGTGTTCAGTGTTTGTGTGTGTGTTTAAGTAGTAATCCAAGTATGAGCGTATTTGCTTAACCAGAATATTCATTCCAAACTGGATTCAAAAATTTACTACAGGGGCGCCTGGGTGGCTCAGTCTGTTAAGCATCTGACTCTTGATTTCAGCTCAGGTCATGATCTCAGAGTTGTGAGATTGAGCCCTGAGTCAGGCTACACGTTCAGCAGGGAGTCTCCTTGAGGTTCTCTCTCCCTCTACCTTTGCCACTCACTCCACTTGCATTTGCTCTCACGCTCTCTTTCTCTAAAATAAATAAATTTTTTTAAAAAAGGAAATTTACTACAATTGTAAGTTTGGATTATTCTTTACATATTTCAGTACTTAGCTGTCTCCAAGGGAAATTTGGGTCCAGAAGAAATGAGAAGACCTGCCCTAGCATTGGTGATGGGAGCCCTAGAAAGTCCCAACCCCCTCTTGAGATGTGCAGCTGCAGAGGCATGGGCTAGATTAGCCCAAGTGGTTGATGATGGAGCTTTTACTGCTGCATTAGCTCAAGTCAGCTTTGACAAGTAAGTGAATTTCTTATTTAATACTCATACACTATATGTCAAAACTGGGTATAGTTTGTTGATTTTTTTGGAACTAGTGAAACTTCATCCTGGGAATTAACTCAGAAAAAATTGATAAACACAGATACTTTCACATGAAGGGTTTACTCATCTTAGAACATAAAACTATTACTACTTTGGCTTTAGTTTTTATATAATAAGAGAAAGATTACCAATATATGAGTGGTATAATTGGCTATCAGTGGAATGGACTCTGGGAGACACAGAGTTTTATCATTTAAAATATAGATAATAGGTAGTAATAACAATCTACTGGAAAGAGGAAAGGCTGTACGCTGTCATGATCAGGAAACTTAAACTATGTTTTCATTTTTGCTAGCTCTGAGATCATGAGCAAAGAGTAAACTTCTCAGCTAGTTTTCCTGTTTTTCGTAACATTTTTAAATTTTAATTAAATTAATTAACATATAATGTATTAATGGTTTCAGAGGTACAGGTCTGTGATTCATTAGTCTTATATAATACCCAGTGCTCATTACATCACATGCCCTCCTTAATGTCCATCACCCGGTTACCCTGTCCCTCCACCTCCTTCCCCTCCAGCAACCCTCAGTTTGTTTCCTGTGATTAAGAGTGTCTTATGGTTTGTCTTCCTCTCTGGTTTCGTGTTGTTTTATTTTTCCTCTCTTCCCCTATGATCCTCTGTTTTGTTTCTTAAATCCCACATATGAGTGAGATCATATGATAATTGTCTTTCTCTGATTGACTTAATTTCACTTAGCATAATACCTTCTGGTTCCATCCACATCATTCTAATGGCAAGATTTCTGCATATATATACCACATCTTCTTAATCCATTCATCTGTTGATGGACATTTGGGCTCCTTCCATAGTTTGGCTATTGTGGACATTGCTGCTATAAACATTGGGGTGCAGGTGCCCCTTCAGATCACTACATTTGTATCTTTGGGGAAATACCCTCTATTTCAAATAGAAGGTTGTTAATACTACCTTGCCTGCTTAACAGTGTTAAGGTAAATGAGATAATAAATATGAAAGTAATATGAAAGAATAAAACAACCACAAATAAAAGTTCATGGTTATATTAGTAATATATGTATATAAAGTTATATTTGTAGTAGTAGTAGTAGTAGTAATGCAAGTAGCACTTTGACCTTCCAGTTTACTGAATATGTGTGACTGATTTGGTTAAGAGCTTGAAGTCTGGTGGTGCCTGGCTGGCTCAGTTGGTAGAGCATGCGACTCTTGATCTCGGGGTTGTGAGTTCAAGCCCAACGTTGGGTGTAGAGATTATAAATAAATAAACTTTAAAAAAGAGAGAGAGAGCTGGAAGTTTGGAGTCAGATTACTAAACTTGGTTCAAATCCCATTCTTCCACTTAATAGTTGGTTACTGTGTAAGAGTTACTTTGGCTATTTTGTTCTCATCTGTAAAAAGGAACTGATAATAGTACGAATCTCAAGGTTGTTGGGAGGATTAAAGGAGTAAATGTAAAACACTTAAATTAGCACAGAATGCATAAGAAAACTAATAAATGGTTTTTTTTCTTGCTATATTTAATGTTAAAATCAAAGTTCTTGAGTTGAAACTCTTTGTATGGAATTAAAGTATCTCAGCAATGTGAGTTTTTAAAATGTAATTTAATGATGCTCTCAACAATGTAGATATGGAAGGAGCATACCTCAGCATTAAAAAGACCATATATGACAAGCCCACACCTATCACACTCAAAAGCTAAAAGCTTTCCCTCTAAGATCGGGAACAAAAAAAGGATGCCCATTCTCTTCACTTTTATTCACCTTGGTTTTGGAAGTCTTAGCCATGCAATTAGACAAGAAAAAGAAATAAAAGGCATCCAGATTAGAAAGGAAGAGGCAAAACTGTCACTGTTTGTAGATGACATAATACAAAATTAGAAAATCCTAAAGACTCCACCAAAAAACTGTTAGAATTAAATGAATTCAGTAAAGTCACAGGATATGAAATTAACATACAGAAATCAGTTTCTATACATATAACAAGCTGTCAGAGAAATTAAGGGAACAATCCTAATCACTATTGTCAGTAAGAATAAAATACGTAAGAATCAGTTTAACCAAGGAAGTGAACAACCTGCACACTGAAAACATTAAGACATTGTTGAAAGAAATTGAAGATGACACAAATAAATGGAAAGATATACCATGCTCCACAAGGATGGCATGCAAATTCATGAAGTGTTCCATATTTTAATACACACACACACATACACACACCATGCTCATGGATTGTAAGATTTAATATTGCTAAAATATCCATACTACCGAAAGCAATATACAGATTCATTGTAATCCCCATCAAAATACCAATGACATTTTTCACAGTGCTAGAACAAAAAAAATCCTGAAATTTGTATGGAACCCTAAAAGACCCAAATAGCCAAAGCAGTCTTGAGAAAGAAGAACAAAGTTGGAGGTATGCTGATTTCAAACTATATTACAAAGCGATAGTAATTAAAACAGTATGTTACTGGCATAAAAACAAACAGAGAACAATGTGTTAGAATAGAGAGCCCAGAAATAAACCCACATATCTAGTCAATTAATTTGACAAAGGAGTCAAGAATGTATAATGGGAAAATGGGCTACTGGCTGGCTCAGTCAGAAGAGCTTGCAATTCTTGATCTTGGGGCCATAAGTTTAAGCCCCACCTTGGTCATAGAGCTTACTTTAAAAACAAAGCAATGGGGGAAAACAATCTGTTTAATAAATGATGTTGGGAAAACAAGACAGCTACACGCAAAAGATTAAAGCTGGACCACTATCTTACATTGTATACAAAAAGAAATTCAGAGTGGATAAAAGACTTGAAGTAAGACCAGAAACCATAAAACTCCTAGAAGAAACATATGCATAAACTCTTTGACATTAATCTTAGCAGTATTTAGGGGAAAGGTCACGCTCCTCAGGCAATGGCAACAAAAGCTAAAACAAACAAGTGGAATTACCTTACACTAAAAAGCTTTTGTACAATGAAGGAAACCATTAACAAAATAAAAAGGCAACCTATGAATGGTGGAAGATATTTGCAACCCATATATTCGATAAGGGGTTAATATCCAAAATATATGGAGAACTTATACAACTTAATGTCAAAAACCTGATTTTAAAAAAATGGGCAGAGGACCGAATAGACATTTTTCCAAAGAAGACATAGAGATGGCCAACAAGCACGTGAAGACCTTCTTTCTCCACATCATTAATCATCATGGAAATGCAAATCAAAACCATAATGAGACATCACCTCACACTTGCCTAATTGGCTAATATCCAAAAGACACTAACAAGTGTTGAGTAGGATGTGGAGAAAAGGGAACCTTCATACACTGTTGATGAGAATATAAATTGGTGCAGCCACTATGGAAAGTAGTATGACAGTTCCTCAAAAAATTAAAAATACAATCCAGCAATTCCACTGCTGGGTATTCATTCAAAGGAAATGAAAACATTGATTAAAAGAGATATCTGCACCCCTGTGTTCATTGCAGCATTATTTACAATACCCAAAATCTGGAAGCAACCTGTGTCTATTAATAAATGAATGGATAAAGAAGATGTTGTGTGTATTACTTAGCCATAAAAAAGAAGGAAATCTTGCCATTTGCGACAACATGGGTGGACCTAGAGGGTATTATGCTCAGTGAAATAAGACAGAAAGACAAATACCATGTGATTTCACTTATATGTGAAAAGAAAAGAATGAACAAACTCATAGATACACAAGAAATAAACTGTTGGTTACCATAGAAGAGAGGAGGGTGCAAAACAGGTAAAGGGAATTAAGAGGTCCAGACTTCCAGTAATAAAATAAATAAGTCATGGGATGCAATGTATAACATATAGACTATGGTCAGTAATATTGCAGAAATTTTGTATGGTAACAGATGGTAACTAGACTTACTGTGAGGATCATAATGTATAAAAATATCAAATCGCTATGATACATGCCTGAAACTAATAGGATATTGTGTACTTCAACTTGTAAAAAGTAACTTAACAAAGTAATAATGCTTGTCTTACAAATTTAGTATATTTCTGAAAAACATTGAAATTATTCATACTTAATCATTAATAATGTGAAGACATTTTTATTTAAAATGTTTTTCTTTTCAAGATACCTTTCAGGTCATTTCAGAATTTTTTTTTATCAGTTAACAGTAAATATATTTTTGAATTTTGCAGCTATTCATACAAAACGTTTTGCCTAAGTGACAGTGTACATGCATTAGTTTTGTTCAGTGATTATTTTTTATTTCTGTAATTATAGATTGAAATCAGCAAGGGATGTGGTTACCAGAACAGGATACTCATTGGCTTTAGGATCCCTACATAGATATTTAGGAGGAATAAGTTCTTCTCAACATTTGAATTCTTGTGTTGGAATCCTTTATACTTTGTCTCAGGACACTACTTCCCCTGATGTGCAGGTAAATACCCCATATGATATCTTCTTGAAATTCATGATTTGTATATAATGCAGATTGTTTTTATAGACCATTGTTAATTTATAAATAATCCCTCCCCCAATAAATATCCAAACCATTGTTAACCTTGACTGGTTTTTGAAATTCAAATCTCACTATCTTTCTTTACTTCACACTCAGAGTTTCTAAAATCAAATTCAGTATCTTTTTCTGAAAATGGATCTTCCTCCCATCTTAATAATAACATTTACTATTTTAGAGAGCTTAATAGGTACCAAGGATTGTTTTATATTCCTCTAAAACATTAACATATTTAAGCCTCACAGCAATCTACGGTGTATATTCCCCTTATACAAAAAGATAACTGGAGGGTGCCTGGGTGGCTCAGTTGGTTGGGTGACTGCCTTCGGCTCAGGTCATGATCCTGGAATCCCGGGATCGAGTCCCGCATCGGGCTCCCTGCTCAGCGGGGAGTCTGCTTCTCCCTCTGACCCTCCCCCCCTCATGTTCTCTCTATCTCATTCTGTCTCTCAAATAAATAAATAAAATCTTTAAAAAAAAAAAGATAACTGGAACTTACAGAAGCTAAGTAACTTGCTCACGGCTGAAAGCTAATAAATCATGGAATCAGTTCAAGAACACAAATCATGAACTCTAAATCTGTGTTCTTAACCAGTTTACCATTATTATTGTACACATCTTAACCCATTTCAGTTAATATCCTCATTCTCTTGATATCTTAATCAAATCTTGAATGATTATTATTCTTCCTGCCCTTTTTCTCCCCTTATCTTATCTCTGCCTCCCTTGTGTGTTCCTATAATTACTATAACAGTATTTTTAGGTTCTTTTCAACTCCCCCTAGATGTGAAGACACATTTGTTTTCCTGAAAGACTTTCATCTTGCCACTTCCTATCAAAAACCTGGGGAAACTGCTTATTGCTTCCTAAATCACCTCATTCAGGTCCTATCAGCTGACCCAGGAACCTGTCTATTATTACCCGAAAGTACTGGCTTCTCTTACAGATGACCTGCCTATTTTCATCCCACATGTGCCTTTCTCATATCTGCACTTATATTTTTCCTATTGTTCTTTTCCCTTACTATTCCTATCTGATAATCCAAATTTTCTAGTGTTCTGAGATCCAGTTTAACCACCTTCTCGTCAAATTTCAACATCCCTAATCCACAGTTACTTTCTTTGAATTACCATATTACAAATAGTCTCCTCCTCATCATCATCCAGTAGTTGACTGAGTTAATTTATAAGGTGTCCATTCTTTTATCCTCCTTTATTATAGCAATTTTTGTTTTTATTTGTTCTATTTCTCTTCTTCCCCTTTAAGAAGTCTGTTGTGAATGCACATACTTTTATATCAAATACCTTTTTTGTTGATTAAATGCTTTTAGTGACTTCCAGTGTCATCAAATCTGACTCTTTTCGATTACTGCTATCTCTTCACAGTTTATTTTTGTAGCATTTAAAGTACTATAAGCTTTCTGGTAAGAGGGGTAAAACTTCTCATTTTCCTAAAGGGAGAACTTTTTATGTACTTAAAACATACATAGAAGTAGAATATACTATAAGGACCGTATTATACCCATCATCTGACTGCATTGGTTATCAGTCTTGTTTCATTCATTCATTTGTTCATTCATTTATTTGTTCATTGGTGGCTTAAACAACAGAAATTTATTTTCTCATGGTTCTGGAGGCTGGAAGTCCAAGATCAAAGTGTCAGCCAGTTTGGTTTCTTCTGAGCCCTCTTTGCTTGGCTTGCAGGTGGTCACCTCATTGTGTCTTCACATGGTCTTTCCTCTGTGCTTATGCATCTCTAGTGTCACTCTGTCCAGATTTTCTCTTCTTAGGACACCAGTCACATTAGGTTAGGGCCCACCCTAAAAGCCTCATTTTAACTCCTTTAAAGGCCCTGTCTCCAAAGACAGCCCCATCCTGAGGTACTGGGAGAGGCTTGTTCATTTAAACCAGAGTTGACAAATGTATTTTATTAAGAGCTACATAGTAAATTGTGTACACTTTACAGGTCAGTCGTGCAGTCTCTGTCAGCTGCACAGTTCTGCCATTGTAGCAGTAGAGCAGCCATAAATACATAAGTAAATGAGCAGGACTGCGTTTCAGTAAAGCTTTATTTGTAAAAATATGTGGCAGGTCAGATTTCGCTCAAAGGCATTTCAATTTGTTTTATAAAGAAATATTTATATAATATATACTTATTTTATACATATACTTATTTTTATATGTTTATGAAAGTACACTTGTCTTAAGTGTGCATCCCTGTGAATAAAGTATACAAACTAAATACACCATGTAACCAGCACCTAGATCAAGAAATAGAACATTATCAATACCCCAAACACTCTCCTCATGTTCTCTTCTAGTTACTACCTGTCCCACCAAGGATAACCACTATCCTAATTTGCAACATCATATATTAGTTTTGCCTGCTTTTATACTTTATGTCAATGGAATCATATGGTATGTACTCTTTTATGTCTGGCTTTCTTCAACGTTATGTTCAAGAGATTTGTCCATATTACCGCATGTACTTGTAGATTTTGTTGAATCTTTTATTTACTTATTTTGAATCTTTTAAAAACTGGAATTTTTGTTCACATAGATTAAATAGTAAACAATTTTCAACAAACTAGATTCATTTCAGGCTGTTAGCTAAAGAACCAAACACAGACTTGGAATTCTTTTAGTGCTGAGATTTCAGTTTATCATTCTAAATTAGATGATTAGATCTTTTCTTAAACTTCTTATGTTCTCTATTTCTCTTTCCAGGTTAGTAATAGCGCACAAATTACTTTACTTTGTTGTTACTTTATCACTTGCTTCAACAAAGAACAATTCATTGTGTTTTATGTTTCTTAACGCTGCTGTAGCACTTTAAATTGTTTTTCTCTGTCTTCACAGACCTGGGCACTGCATTCGCTATCATTGATAATTGATTCTGCCGGCCCACTCTATCATATGCAGGTGGAACCCACCCTTTCTCTTATTATAATGTTATTGTTAAATGTGCCTCCTACTCATGCTGAAGTTCACCAAAGTCTTGGTCGCTGTTTGAATGCCCTTATTACTACATTGGGTCCAGAGCTACAGGGTATGCATAACTCATTTTGTGATGTCTTACATTAAAAATGTACATAGAAAATGAATTCATTTCTTATTACTGACTCAAATACTTGTCAGTGAAATGAAGTTTAATACAATATTCTATGCAAATCGATGGGCAGAATGTTGAGAGTCATCTTGGGAAGAAGACTTTGACTTCTGAATGTTGACATACTAGAACATAACATAGAAACGAGGAAACTTGATGTAAGCTCCACCACTACTTAATTCGGTGACCTTTGGAAAATCTTTGGTCTTTGGTTTCCTTCTCTGTCAAAAGAAGGAAAAGTTGAAAAGCCTTTGTGATTGACACATAGTAGGTAATCATATATTTTGTGAAATGCCATTCAGTGTGATTTCTCCTACCTTGAAAAGACAAGGAGTACCATGTTTAGAAAGATTAGATATATTTTTTTAGGGCGCCTGAGTGGCTCAGTTGGTTAAGTGACTGCCTTCAGCTCAGGTCATGATCCTGGAGTCCCGGGATCGAGTCCCGCATCGGGCTCCCTGCTCAGCAAGGAGTCTGCTTCTCCCTCTGACCCTCCCCCCTCTCATGCTCTCTCTGTCTCTATCTCATTCTCTCTCTTAAATAAATAAATAAAATCTTTAAAAAAAAAAAAGAAAAGAAAGATTAGATATATTTTTTTAAATGCTTCCCTTAACAATTAAGGTGATAGACACCAAGTGGAATAGTTTAAAGAACTCATCTCTTCTAAGAAGTAAGTGACTAAGTCCCAAAGCTCAGATAATCTGATCCGTTCAAATGTAAAGTCTATGATTTTAATATTTGAAAGCAACTCAACTAATATAAACAGGGCTAAGTTCATTAGCCATTTCTAGTTCTACTTTTCATGAAAATTTGATATAACCTAGTCTTAGGTTCTTGTTTGCCTAATGATTTATGTTGACATAAATTTTTCAGAGTCTGTCACCTAAAAATCTGTCACCTGGATTATCCCTGCTTTTGTAGAAGAAATTTATTTCACAGATCCTTGAGTTTAAAATTGGTATAAAAAAAAATTTTAACCTAGTAATATATGCTTAAAGAGGAATGATTTCATAGACCAATTATTCAGAGCTCTCTCCTTTCCTTTTAGGTAATAGTACTTCCATTTCCACCTTAAGAACTTCCTGTCTTTTGGGTTGTGCAGTGATGCAAGATAATCCAGACTGCCTTGTTCAAGCTCAGGCCATTTCTTGCCTTCAGCAGCTTCATATGTTTGCTCCAAGACATGTCAACCTATCTAACTTGGTCAGCTGCCTCTGTGTGAGTATAAAATTATTAGTGAGTCCTTAGTTTTTTTCCATTGGAAACTTAGGTTTATTTATTCTCTAGTCTGTGTACAATAGCTATTTTCTCTCAGTTCTAGTCTTTTTTTTAGGGGGTAGGGCCAACTCTTATATAATCACATCTTAAACCTCTCATATATTGATTCATTTTTCTTCTCTTAGTGTTGAACTTAACATTTGGAATATTTATTCATTAGTCAATAAACATATAGAGGGTGCTTAAATGTCCCGGATACTGTATAAATGCCATAAGACATGGAAAAGTTTATGTGATGTCTTTGTTTTTTCCTTCCTTTTTTCCGCATAATTACATATAAAGTTCTCTCCACCCCAGATGGGCAAATAACATTTTTCCTTAATATTCTAGTGGCATATCCATCAATATCTGGGTTTTAATAATATGTTTAATAAATATGGCAAGATGAATGCTGAAAGTTCTCGTGAAGTGGTTCATAATCGTCAGTGGTTTTAAGATTTACCTTGAGTATCATCAGTTTCTATCTGGACTTGCCTCAAAAATTGAGTTACATTTGGAATTAAAACAACACCATTGCTTTTAAACATTTCTGCCCCTAGAATGTCCACAACACACTCCCATTAGTAACATGACAGTTGAGAATCATTACTTTAGACAGACCTTTCATTTCCAAGCTTGAGGCAGAATATGCAGCATTTCAGACCTTGAAAGAAGCTCAAATGTTATTAAAACCAACCTTCCCAATAAAAAAGATAAATCAGGGACCAAAAAGTCAAATAATTTTGCCCAAGGTAACGTACCTAGGTATAGTGGTAGCTCTAAGTCTAGAATCCAGTTTCTCAACTTGTAGTTCAGTCCCCATTTCTTTATTTCTTACTGACTTTATACTTTTGGTTAGCACTTTTTTTTTTTAAGATTTTATTCATTTATTTATTTAAATTTTGTTTATTTGAGAGAGAAAGAGAGAGCATGAAAAGGGGGCAGGTCAGAGGGAGAAGCAGACTCCCTGCTGAGCAGGGAGCCCGATGCGGGACTCGATCCGCAGACTCCCAGATCATGACCTGAGCCGAAGGCAGTCACTTAACCAACTGAGCCACCCAGGCACCCACTTAATGGTTAGCTCTTAATCTCAGTTCTAGCACCTCCTAGTTCTGTGGCCTTAGGGAAGTCCCACAACCTCTTCCAGCCTTAGCTACCTTGTCTGTAGAACACAAGGATTACACAAGATGCCACCTGTAAAGGCACATGTCCCAGGCACTTAATAACCAACCACCTAATACATAGTTTTTATTTTCTTAACATATAACTTATACATTATATTAATCTTCATAGTGAATTTCACAAAGTTACATAAGACTTAAAAAAAGAGGATGTGACTGACTTTTCTCATAGAAACTTGGTTCCTGTCTGGGTTAAACATGTTTTGGAGAAAATAACACTAACTGGAAGAAGGATTTTACCTTTACCATTCAATGACTTTTCCCTAGGAATATTATTCTTTCTGTTCCAAGAGCCATCACCAAAACCAGTTACTGAAAAATAGCCACTCCTTTGCAAGTTGATCAGACTTTCACTCCGTTATACTGCCTTTTTTTTTTCTTGAGTTATAGTAGAAATTTTCCATTGGTAGGCTTTTGAAATTTGTCTAACTGATGCATTAATTCATTTACTAAGTTTATTGAGAAATAAAGAACAAAACTTACTGCTAATTCTTGATGAATTAGATATGATCAAATTCATTACTCTTTTTTTTTCCCCCCCCCGGACTGAGAAAGATTATATATAAAGAAGAATAGAGACACTATCAGATTTTTGTTTTAGGAACATTCAGAGCAATTGAGAAAATCAAAATTAACAATCAACAAATTTATGTTACTCTTATTTAAGCTGTAAAATGATTTTCTTACAGAAATCAGTTAAAAATTGCTATCAGGGGCACCTGGGTGGCTCAGTTGGTTAAGCAACTGCCTTCGGCTCAGGTCATGATCTGGGAGTCTGCGGATCGAGTCCCGCATCAGGCTCCCTGCTCAGCAGGGAGTCTGCTTCTCCCCCTGACCCTCCCCCCTCTCACGTACTCTCTCTCATTCTTGCTCTCAAATAAATAAATAAATCTTTAAAAAAAAATTAAAAAATAAAAAAAATGAAAATTGCTATCACTATACTTTAATTTTATGTCTTAATTTTTTTAGTAAGCTTCTATTCTGAATTTATTAGATTGAATTTATTATATATATTTTTTTTTTAAGATTTTATTTATTTATTTGACAGAGACACAGTGAGAGAGGGAACACAAGCAGGGGGAGTGGGAGAGGGAGAAGCAGGCTCCCCGCTGAGCAGGGAGCCCTGTGTGGGGCTCGATCCCAGGACCCTGAGATCACGACCCAAGCCGAAGGCAGACGCATAATGACTGAGCCACCCAGGCACCCCGAATTTATTATATTTTAGAGTATTCCCTGTAGTAAGAAAATTGCTTTTGCTTTCCTATTTAACAACTTTATGATCATATTTTCTTTTGTACAGAGAATTTAATTATTTAGCATGAAATGTTTTCATATTAATTGAAACTCCCTGAATATTCAGAATACATTTCATCATTAGGAAAGAATCTTACTGGAAAGAGTTTTCTTCTAACTGCATGCTGTTTAACTTCCATTCTGAACTTGGTCTTAGCTACACTAGGAATTCTGAGTACTCTCAGTGTTAAAAGTTGGCTTCCAAGAATAAAAAATCTATCATTAACTTGTGATGAGGTAAACCATTAACTTTATCCCTTGCTGGACACCTGCTCATGTGAATGCAATCCAGATCACTCCTTTAACACTCATGTCTACTTGATGTGGCTTTGTTATTGAGGCTTAATGAGAGATTCCAAAGGAAAACCTAATTACACAAATGTACATTTTTAAGTTATTGTATATTTTATATCTTTACATCTTGAGTTGACTATTTCCAAGATCTTAGCTCAACTCATATTTTAAAGTTGGAAAATGAAGTAATCGTGGCATATTTTTAAAGCTGAAGCTAAGCCAATTTGAATGATAGCTCTATCAATATCTATATTTTAATGCTTAGCTGACTGTTGTCAAAGTCATCCTAGTATTTATCTTTTGGTTTTGTCATGACCGGTCTGTCATTTGTTTTTGTGCAGGAGATCTTGTTGGATAATTCTGTGTTGGTAGGTCCCTGACCCTCAATTCCTAACTTATTTTTGAGGTTTGCAGTGCTGTTTCTTTGTGTCGTTTTTATTTTTTTTGGTTGTACATGTTCTTGTTTTCCCCTGCATCTCTTTGTTTAAGCTAACCATTAATGCAGAGTCCAGTATGTGTAGCATGTTACATGGTGTTTATTTAATACCACTGTAAATAAATCCTCCCTAACCTTCTCCAGCTGGTGCACTCACTCCTTGCACTTAATTTTGCATCATTTTGATTTATATATTCATTTCAGAAAGGAATTGTAATTACAGTTTGACTTAGTTTCTGTATTTTGCCTGCTTGGTTTGTTTGCCTTAACTCAACTCTATTCCTCTTCCCAATATAAATGCTGGAGAATGACATGGAGATATTAAGTGTTCCATTTTGCTTGTGTGACCGCCTTCAATCTTTTTTCTACCAAACAAGTAAAGAGTACTTTTAAGCATGCTTTCTGTAAAAGAGTGTTTGACCAGCCTGAATAAATGCTGCACCTGCCTTGTATTATATGCTTGTAAAATTCCAGTGAAAATAACTAGTAGATTCATTAACTTTTCTTTAAAATTGCCTTGTAGAATGCCTTTTTTGTCATTGTTGTAAAATACAGCCATAATTTGGGCATGAGTAAACTTAATCTTTTTACATTTTAACTCCTCTCCCATCCTATGTACTAGTTTCTAACAGTGGTTCTTTAACGTGACTGGGATGACATTAACTTGAGACTTTGTGAATGGCATTCCTCTTTCCACTTTTGAGTTCATGATATGACTTGAGGGTGTAATAGAATATATTTATAAAGCAGTTCCCATTCATATGTTTCACTGATGATACATTCACAAATCTTTTCTGTCTTTTGGCTTCTGATAAAATTTAGGGTTTCACTCTCTTTGCACGTGTTTCTTATATATCAAAAACCAGCTGTCACCATCTACTCTTTTTCTCAGAATTTTTCCTCTGCTCTTTTCAACAAACTCACCTACTTCAGTCCTGTTTTTCTCACATACACGAGATCTAAATAAAGATCACTGTAAGAATTATGCTTTCTCACATTTTGCTTGGAAAATCAGTAGCATAAGACACCTATTCATTGTCATAAACCACACTAAACTGGTCTTTACTTTCATAGTTAGAAAAAAATAAATTTCAAGAACTCTATACTTTATTCTACTTATGAATCACTAAGAATTTGTATCCAGAACCTTTGACTTGTTTCAATTGTTCATTTAAGGTATATCACAATCATATCATTTAGTTCAGTAGATACAACCTGTTGAGATTTACATTGTTCAAACACTTCTAAGTAAAAAGAATATGTATTGAGTCATTATGAGCAAAAATATTCTGTATCTCTAAAATATGTACACGTCTATATACATACATGCATATCCATATACACATAGATATACATATATGTAAAATTTGTTGTCTCTAATGTGTATCTCTAGAGAGTGTTTTTGGTGAATATGTTTTCTGAGTAAAACTCTTCTCTGCTTTTATTTGAAAATGCATTTACTTACTCTGTATGGCATCTGAATGAAATACTATTGATAGAGACTGTTAATAATAGTTAATAATAACTAACATCTATTGAGCACGTATTATTTGCCAGGTACTGTGCTAAGCCCTTCTGCATGTTTCTTTGTGGTAATTTTGCAACAGCCCTGTGACATGGGGTAGTGTTATTTCCATTTTACAAATAAGGAAACTAAGGCACGGAGAGGTTAAATAATTTGCCCAAGGTCACACAGCTCGTAAGTGGTGGATCTAGGACTCAAACTGAGGCAGTTTGACTCCAGAGCCTCACTTTTAACCAGTATGCTATACTGCTTGTATGGATTTAATAAAAATTTCTACTTAGAGAATCATGAAACATAATGTTGCATGAGCACAAACGTATGAGCTACAAATAAATTCTCAGTTGTATTTCTTTTATCTCAAAACTATATTTACTCATAAATTTTATGTCTTCTAAAACTCAAGAGGCTTCTGCTTGGATTTGTTTATGAATATTTGCATAGTCAAGTACATGTGCTATTCCTTAAGCTATGTCTAAGTTATAATAAAAAATATGTACTGGAAGAGTTTGAAGAAGTTTCTGTGTATTTAATAAACCGCATCTAGCACAGTGATGGGCTGGACAGAGTCAGGAAGGATCCAGTGAATATCTGTTAGATTTAATGTGAATGCCACCAAGAATTTCAGCTCTTTCATTTCCCAAATGGTATTTTTCAGGTGAATCTTTGTAGTCCCTATTTGTTGTTGAGAAGAGCAGTACTGGCTTGTTTACGTCAGCTTGTACAGAGAGAAGCAGCTGAAGTTTCAGAACATGCTGTTATGCTTGCTAAGGATAGCAGAGAAGAGTTGACTCCAGGTAATTCTTTTTTATCACCATTATCTCCAGGTTAAATGATTATTTTAATCTTACATCTTCCATATAAACGTAAGAGTTTTTTTGTTTGTTTTTTTCTTTTTATTAATATATAATGTATTATTTGTTTTAGTGGTACATGTCTGTGATTCATCAGTCTTAAACAATTCACAGCGCTCACCATAGCACATAGCCTCCCCAATGTTTTTAAAATGGTATTTAAAAGTTAATATGTAATGTCTTAAATCTGCTACAAGGGACAGTTGCTAACAATGACTATCATTCCTGGGGTGCCTGGGTGGCTCAGTTG